GTAAAATTGGCATGTAATCTCGAAAATAATTTGTATTGATTTCCTAAAAAGTAAATTAATAAATGAGGTAAGGAGATAACTATAAACGAGGGTAGATTCATAATTTTGTGATGTTTTGTTGAACAACCCTCGCAGTTATATGGAATGTAGAGTTGAGTATTTCGACAACGAACTTTTCCGATAAAGGAACGATGGGAACTACGTCCAGTTCTTTAGTTCCTTTTTCTGATCACGTTCGTTTATTTGATCACTTTCCTTTTGTGATAATGTTCCGTTCACTGATTTCGATTTTTTTTTCAGATTATATCGCATTGTTGAAAATATATGAATATATGCTCGTCAATTTACTATTGAAAACCCATAGACCAGTGGATAAATAATAAAAACTATTTCGAGCTTATCGTCCTGCATTAGAATTCTATAGCTTATAAATATTATACTAAATATAAATACTAAATAGAATTTAACCAAAAACAACAAACCATTTTTTCTACTTCTATTTAATCCATCCATCAACGAATCAACACGTTGATATAAGAAAAAAACGATGGAAAGAAGGATTCAAGTGAACCATCTAGGAGTTGAAACTATATTAAGGAACTAGTTCCTTTTGTAAAACAGTAATGAGATAGATCGATCCGCCGGGTTAACTAATTTATATGAAATGCGTCAATGTTTTTACAAATTACCACGACACCTTAGACTACTGGAGAAAATTGATAGGGTCATAAGCATTAGTTCCAAAACAAAATCTAGTTCATCATCTAGTTCATAGTTCACTAGTTCATTGATAAATCGGTCACAATTCACCTCTTTCACAGTTCACTCTTAAGTTCATTAATCGATTATACACAACGAAGTAAAGTTGTTCTATATAGTTCTGTTCAGCTCTTTTGAGTGAACTAGATCGATATTTCAGTTCATAGTTAAATCGTTCGCAATCAAGATTCTTTATTCAGCTGTCCTTGAAGTCCAGTAAATATAACAGTCAACATAAAAGATTGACAACATAATTTATTTTTTGGATTTATCTACATGAAAACGCGGTTAATATCACATGCAAAATAAAACGCGATCGGCGTTGCCTTCAGTCGACTTTGTAAGACCTATCAATTTTGTTCCTTCTCTTGCGGATTTTTACAAATTAAATAGTTGTTGCATTTTTGTGTTCTGTTTAGAGAATCATAAAATTTTATTAGTTTCTTCGTTATATAGAGTTGGGTCGATACGTAACGAAGCAGTATAAAGGAACCATTCCACAAAAAGAACGATCGGTACTAGATCCGTTTCATTCGTTCATCTAGTTCTCCCCGCTCATTGATCGAATTAGTGTAACTTCGGGTAATGTGGATCACCATTTTCTTTTTTTGATATTGTGGGCGTAACAAAGGTAAAAAATAAAAACAAATTGTTTTAACAACATAGTAGATTTGTTAGCGAACTATATTCCAGGTCAAACGAGATATGTATGTGTCTATAAAAATGTTATTGCATTATATTTCAAAAAACTCTAAACTGTGAATAAAAATAACTTGGCGGTTTATGTGGACCAGCATGTGTGGGTAATGAGAATCTGTAAGTTAAAGGTAGGTTGTGGATTGGTGGTGATACATTTCAATTTATTGCACTCTTGGGTAACAATGAATGCACAAATATATGGGTTCATGTTATGGAATAGCCCCCATTTAAGGGTACCGCCCCAATTGCGGCATTTTGAAGATCCTTGCTTCATTATACAACCGAAGCACCTGTAATTTCGCATATCGAATTTTCAGAGCGTAGAATACCTCCTCGCATATTAAATGCTTAAATGCTTCCATGTTTGGAACTCGTCCTCATGAAAAGGTCCCACTTTTTTATAGTGGTTCACATTACCCGACATTGAATATTTTTCTTTAAAAATAATTATCGGCTTCAAAAATGAATAAAAATTTAAAAATCGGCGATTGTAATTAAAGCATTTTTGTTAAAGAAAACAAGAAAACCACATAACTTCTTTATATTCGAGAAAAACAAAGTGTTTGACTATTTTGCAAAAGTGTTCGACTATTGTGCTAAAAATGAAACACTTTTACACTCAGAAAACAATTTTCAACATTGCAATTATTTATTAAAAGCCAAGTTTGATGTTTGTTTTCACTAATTAGGAAACATTTATCAAGGCGGCATTGGCATATTTCATGCATTTTCTTAGATATGGACGCATAGTCCACATTAGTGTTTGACGTATATATATATATATATATATATACAAACCTTTATATATATATATATATTCAAAATTATACAACCCAGTTCAATTTGTTCTCTATATTATATTTTACTTTGTAATTGTACAAAATGTGAATTTCAGAGTCGACTAGTCGATATCAAAATCAGGTCAAAAATAGGTCGGCTTTACATATACATATGTAACTGTTCAGTTTAAATATTTCCATTACTTGGAAAATTTTGCCCCCTCCGAACAAATGGCATCCCTTGAAAATAATAACTAAATTATGAAAATGAATTACTCTCTTTGAACATTTTTCGAGCTTTTTTTAGGCCAAATTCTGCAACCCATTTCAGTTGATGCAAGATTTACACAAAACTGCAACCCAAAATTGTTGGCCATTAAGCATGAAATGAGGTGTCGCAGTAAATTTAAAAGAAAATTTGTTAGCAAAACGTTTAATAGCACAGTCAATGCACATACAGTGGAACCTCGATAACTGGCTTTTAAGAAACTCCACATAGGCAAGTTAAATTGTTGGGAATGGTCTCTTTGTGCAAAGTGGAAAGTTCTCATTAAATTTGTCACTCCATTTGCAACATCGAATACTTCATTTTTGGTTTTTGATAAGTTTTGAGCTGACTTTTTTCCACCCAAAATGTTGTAATTTGACACAACGGATTCATGGAGGATGAAGAACATTTTTGAAGAACATTTTGCTTATATGGTCCATGTTTATATCTTACACAACTATGTTATCAGGTATTATAGCTTTGCAACGCTGCGAAATATTGATACTAGACCTACCTTTAAGTATACCGGTAATATTCGGAAAATATGTCAGTGTATGGAAGACGGGCTGTTGACCTCTAATCGGGCATATGGTTGCAAAATATCATGAAATATTGGCCAGGCTCGGAATACAATCCGCAGAAAGTAAGAGTTCCGTGGTAGTTGTGCAGGATATCATATGGTCGGCTCCATCTGATTATGCTGCTCCGTTCACTTGTATTTTGGTCTTTTGGTCCATCTTTTATATGAAGGCCTTACCCCAATTTCGACCACATTTTAATGTTTCAGCTGTTTTTCCTTGTGGATGTTGCTTTAACATTTTTGGTTCTTCGAGGTTTTTATAGGTCCATGCTTTGTCAAGTCTCCTATTATATAAAAATACCGTAACATTTTCGCAATTTAAATCTTTTTGGAGGCTTATATACATTTTTTGGAGGCTTATATACAAAGGTAAAAATCCGGCTATTATCCACCCAAAGCCGTTATAAATTTTAGATTTCTGTTGAAAAAAAAATATTTTCTCAGAGAACCTACTAACAGATAATGACATGATCACTGAATAAAGGTATCGGGACTCTTAAGTATTTTGAATGGAAAACTTCTGGTGAACGATGTAAAAAGTTCGGCTCAACCGGAGTTTCTACTACTTTTTTATTTTTGTAAGAACTAAAATTTTTGAAAATGGAATCCAAAGAAAGTTCCCACTGTAAATATTTTAATGTACATGGCTATGGAAAGTAAACCACAAATCACTTAAGAAAATAGTGTTGAAACAATACGACGAAGAAGACACCAACTAACGAAAGACCTATTAACTCCAATTGGTGCTGGTTAACATAACAGCGATGGTGCTGCCAGCAATGGTGTGTCTTCATTGCACCAACATAAGAGTATTATTATGACTACAAGTAAATAAAAAAATAACAAAAAAATACACACGCTTAACAAAACGAAGCGAAAAGCTCAGCAAAAACCAAAATGTGTAATAATAGGGAAGTTTTCAATCATTAAACCGTCAATTAAAAATCAACATTTTCTGTTCATCGCTAAGTTTTCATCAGTTGGTGGCTATTGTGTTGTTGGATGGCTGGCTGGCTACCAATGATGATGATGATGATGCTGTTGCTCTACGGTTGTCATTTGTTTTTCTATTCATAACTTCTACTTCCATGGTAGTCGGATAGTAGCATCATGTCATTTATGAACAATGTTGTTGTTGTTGCTGCTGCTTTAGCTGTTATTGGCAGTTGAAACTTCAGTTACATTAACATGACCTCGGTTAGACAGACGCACTCTTGTAACATTTATCTGATCCAAATGAAGACAACTTCGAATGCTACAACTGCTACTGATTACGATTGTTGTTGTTTCTAATGGAAGTTTTGCGTATTTTTATTGTTGTGGAAAAATGATCACGACATACTACTTGGTCTAATGATTTGTTTAGATTTTCCATAAAACCATACATTTAGCTCTAAACATTGTATTAGTTTCCATTTTTTGATTTGTTTCAATTATGAGATTTCAATGTTACATCAACATATTCTCATGGTATTTGGAGGTGGGAAGAGTGGGGATTTCAGTTTCATAGCCTTGAGAAATATCCATCGAATTAAAATGTTAATTAAAAAAAAACAAAATTGAAATTTTGCAAAAATATGAACTATGAACTATAGAACCACATATGTATGTGTGGCAGAGGGTAGGAGGGGTTTCGGTCAATACAAACTCGCCTTAATGAGATTTTGCTGCATTATTTAATTTAAAAAAAATTGGAGATATTTTCAAATCAGATTGCCTTTGAATTTCAAAATTAATAAATTAATAATTTTCTTCTCCTCTTCTTTGCAGATATTCTAAACGACAGTTTCCTAGACTTAACGAAATTTGCACCATGAAACTTTTTAGCACCTCAGCAACGGTAAGGTTTTAATTTGTCTTAAATCATCCCCCTCCATTTAAACATCTTTCCCACCTTTCTCCCTCCACAGCTGTTATGCATTGCCATGTTCGCCTTGAGCGGTGAGGCCAAAAAACGTGAGGCCCCCATAAGCAATGGCCGTGGTTCGGCTTCGTATAACTCCCCCTCAAATTCATATTTGCCACCTGCCTCAGGACCGGCTTCGAACAGCTATGCCCCAAGTGCACCATCCGGTGGTCCATATGGCGGGCCTTCTTCACGTCCCTCATCCTCATATGGTCCCCCACCCAGAAGTCCTTCTTCTAGCTATGGACCACCTCCACCACCCTCAGGCCCAGCCGCAACATATGGTGCTCCCAGCCGTCCCAGCTCCAGTTATGGTCCACCCAAGAAAACCTCTTCACGTCGTCCTTCATCCAGCTATGGTGCCCCACCAAAACAACCCTCTTCAAGTTATGGTCCTCCAAAATCTAGCTATGGTCCACCCAAGTCTAGCTATGGTCCACCAAAATCTTCTGCACCATCTTCAAGCTATGGTGCCCCGGCAAAGGCTCCTTCTTCAAGTTATGGTGCTCCAGCACGTGCTCCCTCTTCCAGTTATGGTCCACCCAAGTCATCACCACCAGCCACTAGTTATGGTGTGCCCACAGGTCCAGCTGCTCCATCTTCTAGCTATGGTGCCCCTGCTGCTCCATCTTCAAGTTATGGTGCCCCAGCCAAGGCTCCTTCATCCAGCTATGGTGCCCCCGCCAAAACTCCCTCATCAAGCTATGGTGCTCCAGCCAAGGCCCCCTCAAGTAGTTATGGTGCTCCTGCCGCTCCTTCTTCAAGTTATGGTGCCCCAGCCAAGACACCTTCTTCCAGCTATGGTGCTCCAGCAGCCCCATCTTCTAGTTATGGTGCTCCTGCCAAGGCTCCCTCAAGTAGTTATGGTGCTCCTGCCGCTCCTTCTTCAAGTTATGGTGCCCCAGCCAAGACTCCTTCTTCAAGCTATGGTGCTCCCTCCGCCCCTGCTGCACCATCTTCTAGCTATGGTGCTCCAGCCAAGACACCTTCTTCCAGTTATGGTGCTCCTGCTGCTCCTTCTTCAAGCTATGGTGCTCCATCTGCCCCTGCAGCACCATCTTCCAGTTATGGTGCTCCTTCGCAAGGCTCTTTCCAGCCAATTCAACCACCATCCTCTAGTTATGGCGCTCCTGCTCAAACTCCCTCTTCAAGTTATGGTGCTCCTGCTCAAGCTCCTTCATCCAGTTATGGTGCTCCCGCTCAAACTCCTTCATCTAGTTATGGTGCTCCAGCTCAAGCTCCTTCCTCAAGCTATGGTGCTCCAGCTCAAACTCCTTCATCTAGCTATGGTGCTCCTGCCCAAGCCCCCTCATCCAGCTATGGTGCTCCAGCTCAAACCCCTTCGTCTAGTTACGGTGCTCCCGCTCAAACTCCATCCTCAAGTTATGGTGCACCTGCCCAAACTCCATCTTCCAGCTACGGTGCTCCTGCCCAGACTCCCTCATCCAGCTATGGTGCTCCCGCTCAAACTCCATCCTCCAGCTACGGTGCTCCTGCTCAAACTCCTTCATCCAGTTATGGTGCTCCAGCTCAAACCCCATCCTCCAGCTACGGTGCCCCAGCTCAAACTCCCTCGTCTAGCTATGGTGCTCCTGCTCAAACACCTTCCTCAAGTTATGGAGCTCCTGCCCAAACTCCTTCATCCAGTTATGGTGCTCCTGCCCAAACTCCCTCGTCTAGCTATGGTGCTCCTGCTCAAACTCCCTCATCCAGCTACAGTGCCCCAGCCCCTCAAGCACCATCCTCCAGTTATGGCGCCCCAGCTGCTCAAGCACCATCCTCCAGTTATGGTGCCCCAGCCCCTCAAGCTCCTTCCTCCAGTTATGGCGCCCCAGCAGCCCAGGCTCCCTCATCATCTTATGGTGCACCCACTGGACCATCATCTAGCTATGCCTCAGCTCCAGCTGCACAAGGTGGTTCAAGCGGTGGCTATCCCTCAGGACCTTCCTCAAGCTACAGTGCCCCTGCTCAACAACCCTCTTCAAGCTATGGTGCCCCTGCCCAACAACCATCTTCAAGCTATGGTGCTCCTACTGGACCATCTAGCAGCTACAATGCTCCATCAGGTCCCAGCAGTTCTTATGGTGCTCCTTCGTCTTCTGGTTCCAGTTATGATGCCCCCGCCCAACCACCAGCAACTGGCTATGGAGCCCCAACTGGACCCTCCTCATCCTATAATGCTCCAAGTGCTCCCTCCTCATCGTATGGTGCTCCTTCATCCAGCAATGGTGGTGGCGGCAATGATGGTTATTCTTATTCTTCATCGGCCAACAAAATCCCTGACACCATTCCCCAAGGTTATTCTTCGGATGGTGGCTACACATATTAGTTTGTGAAATGAAATTGTGAAGCAGATTTCAGAACAACAACAACAACGTGCCTTAATTCTCAAATTTCGTTTAGAAGCCAATTGCCTCATTCTTCCGCCAATCACCACTTCTTTCTTCCATTCATTGTCACAAAATGTTAGCGGAATCTTCATAGAATTCGAAAATTTTTAATATCATTTCTCATCAATTCTCACAAAATCACTGTTAAAGTTTATTCCATTTTTTAATTCGAATTTCGTAAATTATTTTTTGTTAAATGTATTATATATATATATATTTGGAATATTAAATTAAGTGTTAAGCATTTTTATATAATAAAATAAATATTAAAAAAAAATATTTGATTTCTTTAAAAGCCTTATAGGCCATGAAACATTCTTTTAAAAAAGGCAAAAAAAAATTCTTTAAAAATCCACGCCTAATTATAGGCCTTGAAAAAATATTCTTTAAAAAATCCACGCCTAATTATAGGCCTTGAAAAATATTCTTTAAAAAATCCATGCCTAATTATAGGCCTTGAAAAAATATTCTTTAAAAAATCCACGCCTAATTATAGGCCTTGAAAAAATATTCTTTAAAAAATCCACACCTAGTTATAGGCCTTGAAAATTCCTTTTAAAAAATCCACGCCTAATTATAGGCCTTGAAATTTACTTTTACAACATCCACGCCTAATTATAGGCCTTGAAAAAATATTCTTTAAAAATCCACGCCTAATTATAGGCCTTGAAAAAATATTCTTTAAAAATCCACGCCTAATTATAGGCCTTGAAAAAATATTCTTTAAAAATCCACGCCTAATTATAGGCCTTGAAAAAATATTCTTTAAAAATCCACGCCTAATTATAGGCCTTGAAAAAATATTCTTTAAAAATCCACGCCTAATTATAGGCCTTGAAAAAATATTCTTTAAAAATCAACGCCTAATTATAGGCCTTGAAAAAATATTCTTTAAAAAATCCACGCCTAATTATAGGCCTTGAAAAATATTCTTTAAAAAATCCATGCCTAATTATAGGCCTTGAAAAAATATTCTTTAAAAATCCACGCCTAATTATAGGCCTTGAAAAAATATTCTTTAAAAATCCACGCCTAATTATAGGCCTTGAAAAAATATTCTTTAAAAATCCACGCCGAATTATAGGCCTTGATTTCTAATTTCACGCCCAATAATAGGCCCTGAAAAATGGTTTTTCGATAGCCTTTGAAAAAATATTTTTAATTCTTTTTTTTTCTTGAAAAACTACATATTTTTTTAAATTACTTAGTAAGAAACTTACCACTTTCAACACCAACTTGCTTTCAGCCGCCCCATTCATGTTCTCCCAATTATTTGTTACACACACACACAAAACGATTAACAAAACCGACGACCGAATGATCACTAATAAACCGCACAATAATAACAACCGACAATTACAACAACAACGAAACACAAGTGTTTCTCGCTCTCTTCATCAAAACACACACGAACTCCCGAAGGCACATGTAAAAGAACAACAACAAGAATTGCAATGCCATTGCAAGGTAAAAGAAAAACACTGATATCTTTATGAATTTGCACCGAAAACACTTTAAATCGATAATTAAGAGATTTGCCGCAATTTATTTGAATATATTTCACTATTTTTATAATTTATTATGATTTTAATCCATTTAAATCGAACAATAACGCGTAACGAACGAAATTCGCGACCGGCCATTTGCATACAATGATTGACAACTGACGGACGAGCAGCAAAGGAGAAACGGTGTTGCCAATACTGATATCATAAAAAGCGCTAGGAACTTGTTGTGGCTGTTAAAGTGGAATGTAAATAAAGAAAGGCCATTTAAGGCCGTGTTTACATTGCATGGGGCATTAATGCATTTTTATACCATTCTAAATGTGAATGATAAGAGCATATTTTGAAAAAACAATTACAACACAGGGTTATACATTTTGTGATTTCAAAAGTTAACCTAAATAATACACATATATACATTGTTGTGTGATATATATTTTTTATTTACATTATGTGTAAAACACAACATCATTGAAATGATCACCACGCGAAGAGTGGGAAACATTAATTCTCTATGTATGCGGGACCATATTGCTGAAACCACGTATTATCCAAGCAGCATCACCAGTTAGTTTAATAGAAACTTTAATAGAAATTGATTTCCATTTTCCCTATATATGGTCTGTTCCCGTACTACAGAAACTACATGATTTATGTTTCGATATTATAAAGGAAATTGGTTGTCGTAGTAAAAAGCAGCCAAATAATTTCAAAAGTACGGTAATAGATCATTTGTTTAAATAATTATGTCTACTCCAGAACATGCAAGAATATACAACCTTTTTACCTTTTTAAATAATTATGTCTACTCCAGAACATGCAAGAATATACAACCTTTTACGATATCAATTTTCCTTTATGAGTAGTATAGTAAAAAGTAGTATATTATTGCAGTATGTGAACAGACAAATTGAATTCTGTTGTTTTTATTTAATTAATATTTACTTTTTTAGAAGTATTAATATTAAAAAAAGAAACAACAAAAAAACGAATTACAAAAAAATAAAAGAATTCAAATCATACGTTTTAATTTAATAATATTCCTGCAAAGTCCTTTAACTGGATTTGACTCAGCAGCACCCTGAATAGCATAAACTACTTGAAACATCATATCCAAATAATTCCCTCAATTTTCATTGCGATTTTCAAAATAGAACTAAATTTCGGATTTTCAACTGAATTGCAGAATATTGTCCCAGGTCCCTAAACCAAAAATTTAATCCCCATTTCCAAACAAAAATTCCAATTAGGAAATAAATTCCCTAAACTGGCAACATTGTATTCTAGTCGTATATTTCTGTAAAAGGCAAAACAATTCGTTTATCATATGACCACAACGCCCTGAATTGACGGTGACAGTCGTTTTCGACTTAGGGATACATAGTCGAGCACAAAAGTCGACTTTTCGATTTTGGCCTCAAAGCACAAAATTGATTTTTAGACTTTTGCCTTTGACTAAAAAGTCGAATTTTCGATGTTTCAATTTCGTCAAACCTGGTCAAAATCGATACCATATAAAAGTCCCGCCATCATATTCAATATTTTGAAAGTTTTACGCGAAGTTCTCAACCAAAATGTCTGTGATTTGTCATTCAGGTTTCTTCTTGTAGGTCTAATTTAATTTTCAAGTAATTGTTTAATTTAAAAGAAATCTCTTAATTATCGATTTAAAGTGTTTTCAGTGGAAATTCATAAAGAAAATCGTGTTTTCATTTTTTCTTACAATGATATTGCAATTCTTGTTGTTGTTCTTTTACTTGTGCTTTCGGGAGTTCGTGTGTTTTTTAATGAGAGGAAAGCAAGTGTTCCATTGTTGTCGTTATTATCGGTTATTATCATTTTTATTCCACACATTTAGAATTGAGTAATCACAGTCATTAAAACACATGTTATGTAATCACCTCCTTAATGGTTCCATCTTTACAAGCCAGAATAAGTTTCCAGCGCTTTTTATTATGTTAGTATTGGCAACACCGTTTCTCCTTTGCTGCTCGTCCGTCAGTTGTCAATCATTTTATGCAAATGGCCGGTCGCGAATTTCATTCGTTACGCGTTATTGTTCGATTTAAATGGAGTAAAATCATAATAAATTATAAAAATAGTTAAATATATTAAAATAAAGTGTGGCAAATCTCTTAATTATCGATTTAAAGTGTTTTCGGTGCAAATTCATAGATAAATCAGTGTTTTTATTTTACCTTGTAATGGCATTGCAATTCTTGTTGTTGTTCTTTTACTTGTGCCTTCGGGAGTTCGTGTGTGTTTTGATGAGAGAGAGAACAAGTGTTTCGTTGTTGTTGTAATTGTCGGTTGTTATTATTGTGCGGTTTATTAGAGATCATTCGGTCGTGGGGTTTGTTAATCGTTTTGTGTGTGTGTGTGTAACAAATAATTGGAAGTACATGAATGGGGCGGCTGAAGGCAATTTGGTGTTGAAAGTGGTAAGTTTCTTAGCACTATTCTTTCTACAATTAAAATGGACAACTAATAGAGTCACAATGAATCGTTAATATAAAGAGAGTAATTTAAAACCCGTCAGCAAAGCACTATAGTCGGACGGGGCCGACCATACCATACCCTACACAACTACCACGGAACTTTAACTTTCTGTATATTTTTATTCCGAGCCTAGGCAATATTTCGTGACAGTTGCACCCTCTTGCCCGATTAAAGGTCATCAGCACCACTTCCTTACACTGACATTTTCCGAATATAACTAATATTCAGTACAGTCCTTCTAATTACTTTTCCATATTCCCTTCACCGTGCTGTGACGATCGGCTAATAATTTTGACCTATACGTCGACTCGAAAAAAAACACAAAAAATTAAGTTTTCGGTCCACTTCATCCCAAAATTAGTATCTGATCATCATCGAAAATTATACGCGTTGTTCCGCCCTGCAGGGTTTACTAAATAATATATAAGTATAAATATTTAAATACAACTGCCACATCCGAGTGGGACCGATCTTTATCAAAACAGGCATGCTTATTCTTTGACCCGATCCCCTTCTCCATGCAAACATTTGCAATTTTTGGGCCATAATTGCGGCCTCTGGAGCGACCGAGCTTTGTAACGCCCACCTTTAAGAATACGATCGGTATTCTTAAAGGTGGGCGTTACAAACTCTTGAGGCTGCACAAAACCATAATACACTGACAACATAGTTGTGTAGGGTATAAATATGTAGATTTTCAACGAAATTTAAAAAAAATATTTTTTCAAGGCCTATAATTAGGCGTGGATTTTTTAAAGAATATTTTTTCAAGGCCTATAATTAGGCGTGGATTTTTTAAAGAATATTTTTTCAAGGCCTATAATTAGGCGTGGATTTTTTAAAGAATATTTTTTCAAGGCCTATAATTAGGCGTGGATTTTTTAAAGAATATTTTTTCAAGGCCTATAATTAGGCGTGGATTTTTTAAAGAATAT